TTACCAAATAACTAACCTTTGAATTTGACATTGCATTTTTGTTCATTTAACATTGTATGCATAATCTTTCAAAACGGTATTTTTAAAACTGGCTGATAATTTTTGGTAATAAATAGGCCGACAAAATTAATATTTTGTATTAATTTTACAAAATGCGTAAGGCAAATATTAATATAATATGCAATATTGAATTAAAAAAGAAATCCATTGGTTCTAGAAAAAAACGGAAATTATTAAAAGAAGTTGGTTTACAAAAAGTGGAAGAGAAAGTTGATGATAATGTAAGTTTATTTATTATATTTTATTCTAATATTTAGTTTTTAACTAATTTTGTTAAATATTTTAATTATAAAACCCAACATTTTATTAATTTTAGGACATCTAAATTTTTGATTTAACAGATGAGTTGGAAGATATGGCAGAATTTTAAAATTTTTCCGAAATTATGAATAATAACACTACTCAACAAACGTCTATAGATCCTGAACAATCTTCAGAGGAACTAAATCTAAGTCAACAATTAGTAGGAAATATAAACGATTATCATCCCCCATTACATGAAAAACAAGGATCTTTAGAAGTTAAAAATATATTAGTAAGTTACATGAAATTTTTAATAAAACTGTTATTTAAATTATTTTTAAATTTACAGAGGCACCATTTACAAAAAAACTTCGTCTATTCCTCTGAAAACTTCAACCCATTTCAAATGATGCAATAGAAAAACTTAGGATTCACTTAAATACCAAATATAATTTTTATTATGAAAACGTTCAATCAATTTGTTTGCTGAGCGAAAAATTTTACTTTATAACAGAAGAATATGAAGAAAAAGAAACAATTATGACGCAAAAGAAATGGAATTAGAAAAGCTGACAAAAAGTACTGAAGAGACTTTAGCTGAAAAAAATAAAATACTTATTGATATATATGAACTTTATAAAAAATTTGGGTTAAAATAAAAAATAAATATAAGTGTATAATAGTTTTGTTTTTCTACTAACCCATAAAGTTTTTTTAAGTCTAAATTAATAATTTTAATATGTTATATTATTGGTTTTTAAAAATTTAAAACATTCAGCTACAAATAAATTAGTTTTTAAATAAGAATGATCTAAAAAATATCCTTTATTTAAAAAAATATAAATAAAAAAAAATAAAAAATTAAAAAAGAATAGGAAAAAGGAAGTGGAAAAAAGTTTGCAAGAAGTAAAAAAGAAGTTAATTTAAAAAACCTCATTCTCATAAACATATTATATCTATAAAGAGTGTTGAAATATAAAATAAAAATATAAATACATAAAAATAGATTAAAAGTTGGATTTAAGAGTAATTTTAGCTTAAAACGAGAAAACAGATATTTTTATGTTTAAAATATCTAATTAATCTAAAAAATAATAATTTTTTAAGTAATCGTATTATAAATATTTGCTATGAAGTTTAAATATACATATACGAATATCATAATTAAAAAAAATTAATAAAAATGATATTTTTAAAAATAAACCTTTATACAATAAACAATTATGAAAATAGCCATGTATAAAAATAGTCATTCATAAAACCCCTATTTATTTGAAATAATTTTTAAAATAGAATGATCTAGAGACCTTGGTTTATAATGTGCACTTTTAAATAAACTGAAATAAAAATTTTATTTTCAGACTAATTTGAAAAAATAAATTATATAAATAGATATTTTTAAAAATAAACCTACAAAAAATAAACAATTATAAAAAATAGCCATGTATAAAAATAGACATTCATAAAAATAGCTATCTTTTAGAAATAATTTTTAAAATAGAATGATCTAAAGACCTTAGTTTAAAATATATACTTTTAAATAAATTAAAATAAAAATTTTATTTTTAGACTAATTTTAAAAAATAAGATATTTAAATAGAAATTTTTAAAAATAAACCTACAAAAAATAAACAATTATAAAAAATAGCCATGTATAAAAATAGACATTCATAAAAATAGCTATCTATTAGAAATAATTTTTAAAATAGAATGATCTAAAGACCTTGGTTTATAATATACGCTTCTAAATAAAGTGAAATAAATTTTTTTTATTTTTAGACTAATTTTAAAAAATAAATTATACAGGGTGTCTGTAAAAGGTCTTTACAAAAACATACCACATATTCCTTAGACCAAAATAAGTCGATTTAAGTAAAATTACTTTTGTACAAAGTTGCTTCATTTGGGCTCCAGAGGGCCTTGAAGTTACAATTTTTAAATCGTTTTTCCCATATAAATTTAAAACGGCATATGCGATTTTGCTGAAATTTGGTATATTGGTAGAGTTTTATGTGGCAAAAAAATGGTGTTAAAATTTTGTCCGATAATAATACATAGGCGTAGAACTTGATTTTTTAAATGACTGCACCTTTAAAAATTCTACGCCAATGGAAGAAAAGGACTTTAAATATAAAATTTAGATTGCGCAACTTATTTACTTTAAAAAAGGTACTCTTGATAAGACTCGATTACTCTCATGGTTTTGACGAAATTTGCATTTTAGTAATTTTAGAATATAAACAATAATTATTAAAATACAAACTTTGTCAAAACCATGAGAGTAAATCGAGTGTTATCAAGGGTACTTTTTTGTAGTAAATGAGTCCAATCCAAATTTCCTACTCAAACCCCTTTTTTGCCATTGGCGTCGAATTTTTAAAGGTGCAATTATTTAAAAAATCAAGTTCTGCGCCTATGTATTATTATCGGACAAAATTTTATACGATGAAAAACATAAAAATGTACTTTTTTCATATCTTCTTCAACACCTCTAATCGAGACTTTTTACAAAAATACTCGATTCTTGCCATGTACGATTTTTTGAGGAATATTAATTATTTGCCTGCAATACGTATACAAAAACATTTATTGTTGGTTTCCATAGTTTCATCTAAATAAAAATATTGTCAAGTTTTAACACCTAATCTCTTGTTAACGATTGAAAGTGTTCTATCTGACTCAATAATTAAAAAAAAACAAATGCATGGTTTATTAATATGGCTGTACAATATACCAATGTAGAATATACCGATATGTTACTGACATTAGGATTTTGTGAAGGAAATGGTCGAGGGAGTGTCAGGATGTACTCTGAAAGGTTTCCAAATCGTCGTGTACCTAGCCACCCAACTTTTGCTGCTGTTGAGAGACGTCTTCGGGAGACCGGTTCCTTTGCTCCCAACACTGTTGATAATGGAAGAGAACGTTTTGTAAGGATTCCTGAAGTTGAAGAAGATATTTTAGAACGTGTTGAAGAAGATCCAGAATTAAGCACCAGACGAATTGGAAGGGAACTAGGAGTAAGTAAAAATGTCGTTCATAAAGTGCTTAGAGAACAATTGCTGTATCCATACCATAAGAAGCCAGTACAAGAATTATTAGTCCATGATCCTCAAATTCGTTTGGGTTTTTGTCGATTTGTTAATATGCAAAGAGAAAGAGATGCAAACTTTTTCAAGAAGGTTCTCTTTACCGATGAAGCGGGTTTTACAAGAAGATGTATAACTAATATCCATAATGAACATGTTTATGCCCTTGAAAATCCGCATGCAATAAAGGTAAACCATTTTCAGCACGAATTCAAAATTAATGTGTGGGCTATAATAATTGGTAATTTCATTGTTGGTCCTGTCATACTTCCACGAAGATTAACTGGAGAAAATTATTTGGATTTTCTACAAAATACGTTGCCAGAATTGTTAGAAGATTTACCTCTCCAACTTCGGAGAGATATGTGGTTTATGCAAGATGGAGCTCCACCACATTTTTCTTTAAACGTTAGAAATCACTTAAATGAACAATATCCACACAAATGGATAGGCAGAGGTAATGACGCACCTGTAAACTGGCCACCACGTTCCCCAGACCTAACACCGATGGATTACTTTTTATGGGGACATCTGAAATCCACAGTATACAGGGAACCTGTAGAAAATGAGGAACAACTCTGGCAACGTATTCAAGATGCAATAAACAATCTTAGAGGTGATGAAGAAGTTATGGAAAGGATACATTTTAATTTTCTTCAACGTATAAATCTTTGTATGCGTGAAAATGGTGAACATTTTAAACAATTTTTGTAAAATCTCTATTTTGATTATGTTGTAAATAAATATTTTTGTGAAACCTATACACTCTAAATTATTAAAACAGAAATTTAGCGAAAACTATGAGAGTAATCGAGTCTTATCAGAAGTACTTTTTTTAAAGTAAATGAGTTGCGCAATCTAAATTTCATACTCAAACTCCTTTTCTTCCATTGGCGTAGAATTTTTAAAGGTGCAATTATTTAAAAAATCAAGTTCTACGCCTATCTATTATTATCGGACAAAATTTTAATACCATTTTTTTAACCACATAAAACTCTATCAATATACCAAATTTCAGCAAAATCGCTTATGCCGTTTTAAATTTATATGGGAAAAAGGATTTAAAAATTGTAACTTCAAGGCCCTCTGGAGCCCAAACGAAGCAACTTTGTACTAAGGTAATTTTACTTAAATCGACTTATTTTGGTCTAAGGAATATGTGGTATGTTTTTATAAAGACTTTTTACAGACACCCTGTATAAATAGACATTTTCAAAAATAGTACTTCTAAAATAGATTGGTTTTTAAAAATAGATCTTTAGAAGTATAAAAGGGTTATGTATATCGCTTTTAAGTTATTCTTTTCGTAAGTGTTTAGTGTTTTTTAGCATCAGGTGAGTGTTTGCATTATTTTAATTTTTAATTTATACTGAAAATTTAAATATTTTAGGTTTATTTAAAAATAGTTTATTTTTGAGTTTTTATTTCAAAATTTAATATCTAATATACTTGCGGAAATTTATAATTTAAATTTATTTTACTTTTTTACTTAAAATATCCTAATTTTAGAGGACTTATACACTTTTAAATTTTTTAAATTACAATGCGCCCGCGCATTTGTAACTGAATAATAAAGTGTATAACAATTATTATTCTATTACAGTCATAATGAGCATCTTCAATAATCTAGTTCGCTACATCGCCAGTTTTCTAGGATTGCTAAATTCTAGATATGATGAAGAGATAGCTGGAAAAGGTATACGTGATTGCCAGAAAGGGATTTGGAGGATCAAAAGTGCTATGAAAACAGTTAAAACTATAGGTGAAAAACAACATCTCCAGGCTTGTTTAAATAATATTAAGACATTACGAACTCAGATAAAAGCTATGGAGAAGAAAGGGGCGGGGCTTAAATCACAACCTGAGAGGGCATGGAATCGTGTGCACTGGAATGAATCAGAGTCGGCGTTTGAAAGTAGAATTATAAGCGGAGTGATCACCAATTTAAAACATAAAGATCCTAAAGCTTTCTTAATTGATGCAAAAGCCATTTTTAAACATAGAATACAAACGGTTCTAAGAAAAGATGCCGCTGTAAAAATCAATACTGTTTTTGCTGGAGAGTTTGAAATTGTAAAGGGAGATAGTGTTCTTAATAAAAACAAGTACTTTACTACCTCAAATTCTCCAATCTATCGAGACACAAACCTTGATGTGTGGTTTGACATGAAGGTGATCAATCCTATTATAATTGAGTTGGAAGAGTTTCAGGAACGAGACAGCGGATGGGCTTTAAAAAAGATTATGAACTTGGGGGTGAACATAAATAAATTTACTCCTCAGCTTGGGTCAGCATACATTGACTTACCCCCACAAATTAAGAATAAAAACGCATGTATCAACGTAAAAAATGATGACGATGCTTGTTTCGCATGGGCAGTCATCTCTGCTTTATATCCTGCTATCAAACATGCTGATAGAACCACATCATACCCTCACTACACTAATATTTTGAAACTGAAAGGAATTCAGTTTCCGATGACGGTTAAGCAAATTCCCAATTTCGAGAAGCAAAATAATTTATTTATAAATTTTACATTCTTCAAAAAAATAAAGTCAATTATCACTCTACCGAATTACCTTACAAAAAACAAAACCGATCGTCACATTAATCTTCTCCTAATCCAAGATCGATATGATGATGCTCCTTCAACATATCATTATGTATGGATAAAAAGCCTCTCCAGGCTACTTTTGAAACAGCTAAGTAAAGAAAATGGTCGTAAGTTATTTTGTGATCGCTGTCTGCATTACTTCCGTTCAGGAGAAAAGCTAGATAAGCATATCGAGGATTGTATGAAACTTAATGAAACTGCAATTAGAATGCCGGAACCAGGAAAAATATGTTGAAATTTAAAAATTATAAAAACAAGGAGAAAGTTCCATTCATAGTTTATGCTAATCTAGAAAGTATATTAAGACCTACCAATGACCCCCGAAAGCCTCAACATCATGTTCCAGCTGCTGTTGGATACTATATTAAATGTATTTACGATAATAGTCTTTCTTTTTACAAGAGCTATAGCGGGCAGGACTGTATGGCATGGTTTGCGGATGAGATGAGTAGTTTGGCTGAAGATTTGGCAACTCTGTTTTGGTGTATTGATATGACGTTTACCCAAGAGATGAGCTTTCGTAAGGCAACATGTTGTCACATCTGCGAACAGGCTTTTACTGCAGAAGACAAGAAAGTACGTGACCATAACCATGTAATTTCGAAAAATAATTTTCGTGGAGCCGCGCATGAAAGCTGTAATATTAACTATAAGGATGCTCATACAGTACAAGTTGTTTTCCATAATCTAAGCAATTATGATGCTCATTTTATTCTAATAGATATAGCTACAAGAATGAAAGGATCTTTAAATCTTTTACCTATTACCAAAGAGAAATACATATAATTTACCAAACACATTAATGATTATCATATTCAGTTCCGATTCATAGATAGTTTTCTTTAGATAAATTAAGTTCATATCTACCTGAATATCCTAATTTAAATAGTCAGTTTACTGATTTATCCGACGTACAATTTAAATTATTAACAAAAAAGGGGGTTATGCTTTATGATTATATTGATTCGTTTGATCGTTGAAATGATGTTTCTCTACCTGAGATCGATAACTTTATTTAAGAGCTCAACTTGTGTGTAAAAAGTTCAATTGCAAAAATTTTGGCGATTATATTGAGCTTTATATGAAGACTGATGTTCTTATGTTGGCGGATGTCTTTGAGCGATTTCGTATTAGCTGTCATAAAATATATGGCCTAGATCCTGCCCACTATTTCACCCTTCCAGGCTTCACTTGGGACGCTATGTTAAAACATACTAAGCAGGAGTTGGAGCTGTTAACGGATCTAGATATGTTTCTCTTTGTTGAGAAAGGGATCCGTGAAGGTCTTAGTCAGGTGTGCTCGAAGAGGAGAGCTCACGCTAACATGTATATTAACAACTATGATCCCTCTAAACCGAAGACCTTCCTAATGTACTATGATGTTAATATTCAGGTATGTTTTTTCTATTTCCCCATTCATGATTTTACATTACTTTTTATCTTTACAGTATGGCTGGGCAATGTCACAATACCTTCCCTATGGTAGCTTCGAATAGGCTGATACTAACATGGATGTTACGTTAATTTCTGATGATGCTGCAGCAGGATGTATTTTAGAAGTTGATCTAGTGTACCCAGAAGTACTACATGATTTTCATAAAGATTTACCTTTTTGTGGAGAACACATTAACCCGAAGAGCGGCAAACCCCCAAAGAGTATTATTGAGTCCACCAAGCTTATGGCTACCCTTCATCCTAAAACAAAGTATATTATCCACTACTGTGCCTTAAAGCAAGCCTTAATGCACGGTTTGAAGTTGACGAAAATTCATAGAGTGTTGAAATTTAAGCAGAGTCCATGGTTAAAGTCATACATAGATCTTAATACTGAGCTTCGTAAACATGCAAAAAATGAAAAAACCTTTTTTAAATTAGTGAATAATGCTAATGGTATTCCAATGACTGACTATGTGGGGCTTAGGTCTAAATTGTACTCCACGAAGGTGATGACTACATGCGATAATGTTCAAAATTGAGTAATTTTATTTTAGCTTTTGTAAAAATAATATAAAAAACTTGGAATGTCAACTTCAACCGTTATCAAGGGATCTATGATATCCTCCAGCAGCTTTCAATATACCTCGCCAGTCAAAGTCTCATTAATGAAAATCGAAACGACTATCGCATCGCCTAGTATTCCTACCCATACATTTAATTTCTGAGGAGCTTGAGTATGCCCCTCTCTAAAAATGTGAGGGTTCACATCACTCCAATATCGGACATTCTGTTTATTGACTGCGCCATGCAGATAAAACTACATTCGTCACTAAAGCAAATGTTTTTTATGAGGTTTGGGTTTGCGTTTATCATTTCCGTCATAATTTCGCAAAACTGTAATCTCCTATCAGGACCATCGTCCACAAGCTCCTGAAGTATCTTCATTTTATAGGGATGGAATTTAAAAAGTTTTGTCACTTTGCGTACCGATGAATACGAAAGTCCAGTGGTCGTGGCAATCTGACGCAAAGAACTGGTTGGATTGAAAGTAAAGTTCCCCACCACTTCAATCTGAGCTATTTCATTAACTATTCTGTTACCTTCTCTCTTCATATTTTTTACCGATCCTGTTGCTTGAAACTTCCGCACAAGTTGCGTGACATATTTGTGCTCCATTCGCTTATCTGGATGTCTCGCATTAAAAACTCTGGCAGTGACGCGGGCACAATTCTGCTCCTCACCATAAATGAAAATAACTTCTACCCGCTCGGCAATAGTGTAAACCATTTTACAGGGAATAAATCAAGTGACATACCAACTGACTGCAAACTACTTGGATTAAATCTAATCCGTCAAAACGGCTTGGTGAAGATGCGCAAAAAATTGCAGATAAAAATGCATACAAAAAGAGCAATAGCGCGATATCACTCATCAACCGTCTTCAAAAACTGAAGCAAAAATTTTAAGTGAATTTACGACAGAAGATAAATTGTTGAATGAGGAAGGATTCCTGTTATTCTTAACGGTGGTCATTTTAAGAATCTATTATGATGTATGTAATTTAAATCTATTTATTGCAATTTCAATTTTTTCTTGAACCACCCTGTACAAAACGAAATAATTCTTACATGGTCGTATGGTAAATGCAAAAAACTTTCCAACGAGAGGTCACTCGGCCTCTCTTGCTATTGAAGGTTTTTGAGGTGGGGGCTGGTGGGGCCATGGGGTTGATCCGACAAAATCAGTTGTGATCTAAAAATGTGTCCCCCTAAGGATAAGAATTTACCTGTTTTTGAGACGAGAACGAAGTTATCGAGGGTGGATCCTTTTCAAAAAATCACCCTGTATAAATTATAATGATAATATTACTATATGTATCTGAGATATACATGCGCCTATGTATGTTGTATTTATGTTTTATTTTTTTATAGGCATTAAAATTGCATCAGGAAAAAAGAAATACGATCTAAATAACGAAAATAATTGTGAAAAGTTGAGAAATCTACTGGTACTGATGTTTAATTTATTTTATACCAAAATTTGCGCTCCTGTTCATGTAACTTTGTAAGCGCGCCTGCCAGAAGGTTAAGGAACTCTCGAAAAAATCAGTTTAAGAATCCGAAATACTTGAGGCAGTTCCAGAAACAGGGGACATATGGCCAATATAGTTTGAACCTGGTTCCTGCAATAAAGTTATGTTTTCTTCGACTATAGTTCTTTTTCTATTATCAGTAAATATTAATGTCTTGTCCTTACGGCCATCGAAATACAAACCACGTAACATGGATATTTTTGAAGACTTTTGTAGCTCCTGCCTTTTTTTCTGCCTTGCACGTCTGACTTTATGACGGTCAATGATATTTTGGGAGTCTCTGCTATCACACCACCTGCTCTATAATATAATCGTCATTTAAACCTTCTAAAATTATGATTTATAATGCCCCTTTAATATTATAGACAACAAAAAAGATGAACTATAATTTAAAGTTTAGTTGCTGGCTTTATAGAAATTTACAATATCTCTCTATTAAGGACAGGCACATTCTTTATTAAAGTTAGTGATCTGCGCATGCTCGGATGTCAAAATAAGAGTGGTACTAATAGTGACTGACCTTAAGTGAACTTGCAATAACTCTCTATTGAAGAAATAGAGGCAGAAGGCGGTATATGTTATCGATGGCCGATTTCATTTTCATCGCGTCATTCGGTCTCGAAACGTACCTTTTTCTTCAATTTGTGATGCATATACGGAATACATCCGATTAAAATATTCAACAAACTACACCTTCGTATTTGATGGCTATCCAGATGGCATGGTGCCGAAAATCTCAGCACCAAACTCGCGTAGAAAGTGAGAAAAGCACGAAGACACTCATCGGTCAATATAATTTTTGATGTATCATTAATACCCATAATTTTTCAAGATAAATTTTTGTCAAAAAGCAAGAATAAACATCGTCTCATATCGATGCTGAAGAGTGAAATTGAGGCCGAAAACTTAAAAGTACGTCAAGCCAAGGAAAATGCGGACTGCTTAATTGTTAAAACGGCGATTGAAGAGGCGTCTGAAGTGGTAATTGTTGGCGAGGAAGTAGATTTATTGATTCTTTTAATAGGTATGTGTAAGGCCTCAAATATTTATTTTTTAAAGCAAGGAAAAGTAAATTGCTGAAAACATTCTATTTTTGCAAGAAATCAGCGGATGCGACACAGTATCTGCTTTATTTGGGAAAAGCAAAAAAAAATATCAGCATTTTTCTTTACTATCATTGGTCAAGCTTTTCCTTACATCAAACGCAGATCAGCAAACGTGGGCAATCACATCATTCATATCGCACATACCATTAAGTGCAACTTTGGTATAGGAACCGATTAATAACTGAAGAATGGGACTGGAAAAGAACACACGCAGGCTTATCTCCAGTCACTACTTCTACGTCTTCTGCTAGACCCCAGATTTGAAATATCTTGCAAATAATTATATTATTATTATTAATAATAATATACTCTCCCTAATAGACCTTTCCCATTATTGATAATCTCTATTACTCATGCGCAAATAGTATTTCCGCTTAAAAACATCAAAATTTGTTGTCGGTATGTTTCCTACCCTGAGTTACACATCCGCTAATGTAATTTTTTTGATAGTATTGGTAGAAGAACCAGTGACACTTTTAGGTGTGTTATTTGCAAAAGGCAAAATTAAAATTATATCTACATTCTTACCTTAAAAAAAATAGAATTAGGAGTCCTCGATGAAGATTTCTTAAAAAAGCTTATGTAGAAAATGCTGCCATAGAAGGGCAAGCTTGGAACTTTTTTTTTAATATATACATCAAAAGTTAAAAGAAAAAGAGTTTGCTGCCACTTTCAGAAAATTCGATTTACAGTACCTTATTGCTTGCTAATAGGGCATTTTACTGCCAGATCTATTGCAGCAAACGATTTTCTATTTGTATTTTCTATAGTCGATTTTTAAAGATGTCGTCATCGATCGCTCCATAACTAGTGCGTCTGCAAAGCTGATAATAATTGAGGCTCGTACAAATGCGTACAAAAAACTATTACTAAGTCCCCTACTATATAGACTCAATGACAGTTGTTTTAATTAACAATGACATGGGGTAATCGTCGCAGCCAACCCAAAAATTGTAACGCGAGGATAAGGAAGGGAACAATCAAAGATATCGAATAATATGATGTCTAAGGAAACAATTAAGTTGCTTACACGGCTATCATAAGACCTATTCTAACATACGGTGCAGTTGTCTGGGTACCGAAAACTCAAAAAATAACAACTATCCGTAAACTAGAACAAATTCAAAGAACAGCATGTCTCAACATAACAGGAGCCATGAAAACAACATCGCCCAGAGCCATGGAAGTCATTCTTTAACTCACTCCCCTTGATATTTATATCAAGTAGGTTGCTCTGACGATAATGACGCCTCCGCACGGTTAGAATAGAACCAGGAGGCGGTCGATGCGCTTCCACTGCTTCAAACGAACATGGACTCCATCTCACCGAGATATGTCTTCCATAAGCCATATAAAGTTATAATAGAACAATTAAAAGAACCGAAAATGGCAGGAACGATTCATATCTACACCGACGGTTCTAAAACAAAACAAGGCTCAGGATGTGGAATATACTCCAAATTCTTAAACCTAAACATAAAATGGGCTGTGAGCAATAGTGCCAGTGTAGTTCAAACAGAGCTAATAGGGATTCTCATAGCAGCAAAAGAAATAACCAGAAACAATATCACTGGAAGAAACATGCTAATCTATACAGATAGCAGACAAGCACTACTCACCCTGAACAGACCACGAATTTACTTGAGTTAGTACTAGAATGTCACGAAGCTTTGGCCGAAGTATCCATCAACAATATGGTCACCTTAAGATGGATCAAAGGTCGCGCCACATCGAAAGGTAACTGTCTTGCTGATTCACTAGCCTAGAAAGCAGCCAACCAAATACTTTTTGGACCTTGCCCTTCTATTGGCCTGACAAAATCGGTAGAAACTGACCTAATTAAAAAACATTCGCTTGTGAA